AGAGACAGAAAAGAGGGACAGAGACAGAGAAAGAGAGAGACAGAGACAGACAGAGACAGAGACAGACAGAAACAGAGACAGAGAGACAGAAAGAGACAGAGACAGAGAGAGTGAGTAAAGGGAAGAGGGTCCAGGACAGGTCCTTGGCAAGTGTCTGCAGTTAGAGTAGTATCAATGAGGAATCAGCAAAGGAGACTGAGGAGTGGTCAGACAGGTAGAAGGAGAAACAAGAGTGTCATAAGAACCTGAGTTGAGAGCATCCAAGAGGAAAGGATGGCTACTGGGGTCAAATGGAGCCAACAGGCCGAGAAGAGTGAGGACGGACCACAAAGCATCAGATCTGGCCATTTAAAGGTCATTAGTAACTTTGGAGAGGGCAGCCCCAGTGGAATGATGGTGGGGTTGGAAGACAAACTGCAAAGGGCTGACAAGTGCATGAGAGGAAAGAGTGGAGGAAGTGAGTGTAGATGGCCTTTTTAAGGAATTTAACTGAGAAAAGAAGGAGAGTAACAGGGTGGGGGAAGGGGAAATGGTAGAGTCTAAAGAAGGTTTGTTTTTGTTTTTGTTTTTTTTTTTTGAGGGATAGGAAGAGTTAGACATGTGTGAAGGCAGCAGGGAAGGTCCTGGTGGATACACAGAGAAACTGAAGATCAGAGATGATCCAATATGCTACAGTGAACAGGAAGGGATAGGATCAAGTCCTCTACAATGTAGGCAGGTTGGCCATGGAAAGGAGATCACCTCTCTGTCAGAGATGGAGGGAAGACTACAGAGGTTTCATAATGAAGAGGGAGTTCAATGTCCTCAGTAAAGTAAGAGAGAAGATCCTCAGCTGACAAAGGCAGGAGGGGGAGGAATGAGAGACTTGAGGAGAAAAGAGAAGGTTTGGAATAATGGTTTCTGTGTGAAGTGAGAAAGGGACTCAATTACCATTTAGGAAGGCTATCTGTCCCTCATGCCAAGAATGCGCTTCCTCTTATCTTCTCTTAGAATCCCTGATTTCCTTTTTTTTTTTTAATTTTGGAAATTTATTTATTTTTAACATTCTTTTAAAAAAATTGAGTCCCAAATTCTCCTTCCTTCCCACCCCTCCCCCACCCACTAGTAGTGACATTGATGGATCAGAGGCTATGCCTGGTTTTATTGCCTTTCAGATCTAGTTCCAAATTGTTCTCCAGAATGGTTGGGCCAGTTCACTACTCCACCAACATTTCATTAGTGTCCCTATTTTTCTCTCACTCCCTCCCGCATTTGACATTTCTGATAGGTATGAGATGGTACCTCAGAATTGTTTTAATTTGCCTTTTTCTAATCAATAGTGATTTAGAGAATTTTTATATGAATATAAATACCTTTGATTTCTTCTTTTGAAAACTCCTTAGTTTTATCCTTTGACCATTTATATGTTGAGGACTGGTTCTTATTTTTTATACATTTGACTCAGTTTTTTTTCAGCCAAAGACAAGGTTTATTAGAACATCCATCATATTGGCCAGACTCTTAAGGAATCTGAACATTACTGAGCTATTGGCTAGATTATAAGAATCTGAACGGTAGCTAGATTTTAAGAATCTGAGCCTTAGCTCAGTTTTATACTCAGTATATATCAGAGAAACTTGCTGTAAAATTTTTTTGATCTTCATTATCTGTGATATCTTTTAGCAAAATGTAATTTCCTTGATTATCTCTTTTAATTAGATCCATTTTTGCTTTGGGGCAGCTAGGTGGCACAGTGGAGAGAGAGCTGGGCCTAGAGTCAGGAAAACTCCTCTCCCTGAGTTCAGATATGGCTTCAGACACTTACTAGTTTCTTTCTTTCTCTTTGGTCTCTTTGGGGTATAGACCTAGAAGTGCTATTGCTGGGTCAAAGGGTATGTACAGTTTTATAGCCCTTTGGGCATACTTCCAAATTTTCTCCAGAATGGTTGGATCAGTTCACAACTCCACCAACAATGCATTAGTGTACCTATTTTCCCTCATCCCTTTTAGCATTTGTCATTTCTTGTAGGTATAAGGTGGCACCTCAGAGTTGTTTTAATTTGAATTTCTTCTATCAATGATGATTTAGAACATTTTTTTCATACAATTGTATATTTTTTAATCTTCTAATTTATTAATGTATTTTTAACATTTTGAATTCCAAATTCCCTCCCTCCCTTCCAATGAGAAGGCAAACAATATGATATCATAGGAAGACTCATCTTCGTGACTTCGAATCTGACCTCAGCCATTTACTAGTTGTGTGATCTTGGGCAAGTCACTTAGCCCTGTTTGCCCCAGTTTCCTCATCTGCAAAATGAGCTAGAAAAGGAAATGGCAAACCACTCCAGAATCATTGCCAAGAGAACTCCAAATGGGGTCACAAAGAGTTGGACATGACTGAAAAATAAATGCCAACTGAGTCTTGTGTTTGACTATAAAATTTTCTATTCGACTCTGGTCTTTTCATCAGGAATGCGTGAAAGTCCTCTCATTAAATATCCCCCCCCACCTTTTTTCCCTCTCCTGAAGGATTATTCTGTTCTGGGTAGATTATTCTTGATTGTAATCCTAGCTCCTTTGACTTCTAGAATATTGTATTCCAAGCCTTCCACTCCTTAAATGTGGAAGCTGCTAAATCTTGTGTGATCCTGACTGTCACTCTACAATATCTGAATTGTTCCTTTCTGGTTGCTTGCAATATCTTCTCCTTGATCTGGAGCTCTGGAATTTGGTTATAATATTCCTAGAAATTTTCATTTGGAGATCTCTTTGAGAAGGTGATTAGTGGATTTTTAAAGTTTATATTTTGCCCTCAAATCTAAATATTGGGGCAGTTTTCCTTGAAAATTTCTTGAAATATGATGTCTAGGCTCTTTTTTGTCATGTCTTTCAGGTAGTCCAATAATCCTTAAATTATTTCTCCTTGGTTTATTTTTCAAATCAATTGTTTTTCTGATGAGATAGTTCACATTTTCTTCTATTTTTTTCATTCTTTTGACTTTGTTTTATTGTTCTTGTCTCATGGAGTCATTAGCTTCCACTTGCTCAATTCTAATTTTAACTAAATTATTTTCTTCAGTGAATTTTTGTGCTTCTTTTACCGTTAGGCCAATTCTGTTTTTTAAGGTGTTATTTTCTTCAGTATTTTTTGTCCCTCTTTTACCAAGTTGTTAATTTTCTTTTCATAATTTTCTTGCATCACTCTCATTTCTTGTCCCAATTTTTCCTCTACTACTCTTATCTTTTTCTTTAACTCTTCCAGGAATTCTTGTCAGGCTTGTGTTCTATTAGTATTTTTCTTTGAGGCTTTGCTTGTAGCTATTTTCATGTTGCCTTTTGTGTTTGTGTCTTGGTCTTCCCTGCCACTGCAGTAGCTTTTTATGGTCAAGTTCTCTCTCTCTCTCTCTCTCTCTCTCTCTCTCTCTCCTCATTTTTGTAGCCTATTTCTTGACTTTGAACTTTATGTTAAAGTTGGGCTGGGAGTGGGGAGGCACTGTCCCAAGTGTCAAGTTTTTCATGCTGCTCTTTACAGAACTAGTTCTGGGGGGTCTGCAAGTTTTTGGTGTTTCCAAGGTGGTATAGTCTGGGGACAGGTGTGGTCACTCTTCTTCTGGTCTGTGCTCTGGTCTTTACTCAGGAAGGGCCCCTGATGTCCTGCAGCTATAAGAGCTAGTGTTCCTCTTTGCCTTGCAGCTGGGACCAGGGCCCCTACTCCCTTGTGACCAACCTCCACCACTTCCCTCCACCCAGAACTTGTATGGGAAATAGAGTTGCCAGTCAGTGCCAGCTGCACCCAGTGCCAGTAAAGGGTCCCCTGTAATCTCTTTCTAGCCACTTGTCCTACTCCCTTACTGTCTCTGGGCTGAGAGTTCCTAAAGCTGCCGCTGCTGTCCTCTGAGGCCCACTGCTGGTGCTGCCTCAGCTTGCACTCTGGACCAGTCCCCACCCTGATATCACAGATCTCTTCTGCTGACCTCAGTTATCTTGGGCTGGAAGGATGTTGTATCCTGACTTTTTGTTGGCTCTGACACTCCAAAATTTTATTTGAGGATTATTTTAAAGTTGTTTGGAGGGAAATGTTGGAAGGATTCTGCTGTTACTGTTTCTACTCTGCCATATTGGCTCTGCCTCCCCTGATTTCCTTTAAAATTTAACTCCTCCCACTTACCAGTGCCAGACTTTAACTTGTATTAATTTTGTGTCTACTTATGTGTGTTGTCTCCCTTGATAAAATGGAAGCTCTCTAAGGGCAGGACATGTTAAACCATGGGTTTTGTATGACTTGTGCTTAGCATAGAATTTGGCCCATAGTAGAGGCTTAATAAATGCTTGTGTATTGATTGATCAAAAGCCTCTTGACCATGTTATTATTGCCTCACCCTAGGTGGTATAGACGTTTTTGTGAAAAGAAGTTTAGAGGGCATTCCAACGAAAGAAAAAATGAGAGGAGATGTATTACAAGCATCAGGTCACACACATCTATTAGTAGGTTGATATCAATTTTTGCCTCCTGCTTTAGCCTAGGCAATGGTTTCTTTGAGAGAGGAGAAATGTTCTTAAGTGGGGAGCATTATGAGGCCTGAAACTTTGGACAGTGATGGTTGTCTCCCTATAGGTTTCAAGGAAGTGATTTATGGAAATAAGCTGCTAGAGATACCTGTGTCTCTTTTGTGTGCCCAGAAAAAGCCTCAGAATTGGATTGGCAAAGCTGATGCAGTGGTCCATGGAGAGTAGCTCTTTAAACTGAGAAAGAATGGTTTAGACTCTGAAAACTTTAGAGGAAGTATAGTCAGTAGTGCCTTCCACCCACCTCCTGCCCTCCTCAACACTGAAAGAAAACATGGGGCTCTTGGAGGGCATCTGGAGCCCTCTGCTTCCACCTTGTAGTTTCTAACCCTTCTGGCCTCCTGAAGGTCCCAGCATGTGAAGAGAGAAAGGTATTATAGCTCTTTGAGGAAGAGCTTTAGAACACATAAAAGTGAAGGAAAAGCAGGAGAAACAGGTGTCTATGTGGCAGATCACATTGGTTTATTAGCTTGCCAAGGCAGACTCCAACAGCAAATGTGCAAAGGGACAAACCCTCAGAGACGAGCCCCGCCCTCAGGTGAAGTGGACGATGAGCAGAGCCAAAGTGTCAGCCCACCAGGATTCTGCTCTGGGGATTTCAGGGAGGGGATGGGGGAAATGGAAGCCCCTGTGGACTGGATCAACGGCCTGCTTTGTGTGGCCAGTGAAGGCATCCAGTGTTCCAGGGGACCAGCAGAGCTGTGGCTACAGTGACTCAAGTCAGGGTGTTTCCCATCTCATCTCATTGATCCATGAGTGGATGGCCTGTTCAGCAGCAGCAGGAGGGGGCACAGGTGGGTCTGCAGACCAAGGCTGTGTAGGAAGCTGGCTTGCAGCAGGAGACCTGGCAGGATGGGACCCCACATGCGACAGGCTTGCAGCACACGGGCACACACAGAGCGGGTTTGCAGCAGACAGGCACACAGCACGTGGACTGGCAGGGGCTGGACACACAGCAGGAGGGGGAGCCGCTGCCATCTCCACAGACTGCCTGGCAGCAGGTGGACTGGCAGGGACCAGCCTGGCGGCAGGTGGACTGGCAAGGGTTGGACACACAGCACGTGGACTGGCAGGGGCTGGACACACAGCATGAGGGGGAGCTGCTGCCAGCTCCACAGACTGCCTGGCAGCCAGTCACCACGGGGCACGCTGGGCGGCAGAGCAGGGCCACACAGGAGGCTGGGTGGCAGCAGGGACGCACATAGCAGATGGGCACGGAGCAGGCCGGCTGGCAGCCAGTGGAGCAGCTGGTGTGGCACATGGTGTCTGGGGTGGGAGGGATCTTGGGAGAGGAGTAGAGGAGGAGGGATGGCTTTGGACAGCTCCTTCCCCCTGACCAAGGCTTTTATACCCCTCTTCCAAGAGTCACAACCACACAGTAGCTTTTCTTCCTTCTTCTTGTTTTCACCATGTTCCCTCCCAACACCTTATTACCCTGATGTAAATCTTCCTGTGAGTGGTGACTCAGATCTCCAAAACTGGCTTTTGAGGGTGATCTGTGCCTCCACTTATCAGCTTCATTTCCTGGGGAAAAGGATATCTTGGTACAAGTACCTCCAGCATATTTGTACACTGCTGGTAAGAACTGGGTGAACTCTTTTTTTTTTTTTTTCCCAAGAAAGTCACCACAATTGAAAAGAATCCAAAGACAAATCTCATGGTCAGACCAAATGGCCACAGTTTTTTTTCCCTCTATTTTCTTTTCTTTTTTCTTTCTTTCTTTCTTTTTTTTGTTTGTTTGGCTAGGCAATGGGATTAAGTGACTTGCCCAGGGTCACACAGCTAGTAAGTGTTACATGTCTGAGGCCGGATTTGAACTCAAGTCCTCCTTAATCCAGGACCGATGTTGTATCTACTGTGTCACCTAGCTGCCACTAATATTTAATTGGTATTTTTTTTTGTAGGCGATTGGAGTTAAGTGACTTGCCCAGGGTCACATAGCTAGTAAGTGTCAAGTGTTTGGTCTGAGGTCACGTTTCAACTCAGGTCCTCCTGACTTCAGGGCCGGTGCTCTATCCACTGCGCCACCTAGCTGCCCCCAAATGGCCACAGTTTTAAGACGCTACTCGTCCACTCTCAAACTGCCCCTAGTCCTCTTTTTTGAAACATTCAACCCTTTCATTTTGTTTGTTTTTCAATGATCAGATGTTTATTTTTTCTCCTTCCCTCCCACCTCCCTCTTGCCTGTGAGAAAGAAAGAGAAAGAAAAGAAGGAAGGAAGAGAGAAACAGGCAGGCAGGAGGAAACTCTATGTTGTATAATTATAGTCAAACAAAACAAATTTCCATGTTGGTCAAGTTCAAAAATATGTTTCTCATGGTTAGTTCATTCTCTCTCAGTCATTGTTCCTCATGAGCCCTCTGGGGCCATGTTTGTTCATTTAGTTTGTCAGAATTCTCACATTTTTCTTAATTGTTTTTATTTACAATATTGATACTATAGTATAAACTGGGCTCCTGGTTCTGCTCACCTCTGTATCACTTCAAAGCAGTCTTCCCAGGTCTCTTTGGAACTGTCTTTATCTTTATTTCTTACAGCACAATAGTATTCAATCACATCCTAGGCCACAATTTGTTCAATTTTAAGGTACTCCCTTAATTCCTAATTCTTTGCTGCCACAAAAAAAACTGCTATAAATATTTTTATACACATAGGACCTTCTCCTCTTTCTTTGATCTTTTTGACTAGGCCTAGCAATGATATCACTTGGTCAAGGGGCACATGCCATTTAGTAGCTTTGGGGGCATGATTCCAAATTGCTTTCCAGAATGCTTGTGTCCATCCACAGCTCCATCAAGCCTGGCATCAGTGTGCCTGTTTCCTCACTGACCCACCAGCAGTTGTCATTTCCCTTTTTTTGTCATCTCTGCCCAAACTGATGAGTGTGAGGTGGAATGTCAGAGTTGCTTTAATTATTAGTTCTCTGATAATTAGTGATTTGGAGCACTTTTGAAAATATGGCTATACATAGCCTGGGTTTCTTCCCTGGAGAGCTACCTGGGCAGCAATATAAGAAAGGGGTTGTTGCTCTAGACTAGAGACATTTGAAGTGTGGCATATCATCATGTCTAGCCTCATATCCCTCTGGAGAGAGGAGAGATTTCTGAATTTCAGAAGTCCTTGATCCTGCCTTACCCCTACCCTTCCCTAGTCTGTAGGGCATGCTAAAATGGCCATCTTTCTGTTTTGCAAAGGTGGAACAGATCCCAGATCATACTCTCCATGCCACTTCTTACCTGTATCTTATTTATATTAGATACAAAACAAATGTCTCTTTTTAGGTGCAAATCCTTTTTTATTTCTTTTTTTCACTTTTTTTGGTGAGGTAATTGGGGTTAAGTGACTTGCCCTGAGTCACACAGCTAGTAAGTTTCAAATGTGTGAGGCCAGATTTGAACTCAGATTCTCTTGACTCCAAGGCTGTAGCTCTAACCACCGTGCTACTTAGCTGCCCCTATTTCTTTTTTTTAATAGTATTTTCCCCCAAGACAATTTTTAACATTCATTTTATGAGATTTTGAGTTCCAAATTTTTGTCCCTCCCTCCTCTTGCAAAAATGGTAGGCAATTTGATGTAGGTTATATATATGCAATTATATAAAACATATTTCCATATCAGTCACAGTTGTGAAAGAAGAAACAGATCAAAACCATGAAAAATAATAAAGTAAGTGGAAAAAAGTCAGCTTCAATCTGTACTCAGACTCCATCAATTTTTCTCTGGAGGTGGACAGCACTTTCCTTCATGAGTGCTTTGGAATTGTCTTGGATCATTGCACTGTGAAGCTAAGTCATTCGTAGTTGATCATTGTTACAATGTTGCTGTTACTGTGTACAATGTTTTCCTGGTTCTGCTCGTTTCACTTAACAGGAGTCCATACAAGTCTTTCCAGGTTTTTATGAAGTCTCCCTGCTCATCATTTCTTATTGCACAGTAGTATTCCACCACATTCATATACTGCATTTTGTTCAGTAATTCCCCAGCTGATGGGCATCCCCGCCATTTCCAATATTTTGCCACCATGAAAAGGGCTACTATAAATATTATTGTACACGTAGGTCCTTTTCTGTTTTCTTTGGTCTCTTTGGGATATAGACCTAGTAGTGGTATTGCTGGATCAAAGGGTATGCACAGTTTGGTTCAAACCCAGGTCTTCTGAGATCTAGTCTTCTTTCCATTAAATGGTTCTGCCTACTTCCATCAAGATATACAGAAGAATAATTAAGCTTTTCAGCTGGAAGTGAGATAAGATCTCGGCTCAAGCAAGGTGTTAGAATCTGCTCTCAACATTCTCTAAGAGTGTAAGCAGTGGAAGTCAAGGCACCTGAGGGATCTGGCTTCCTACATGTGTATGCAGCTGTGGTACTGTAGTCTACCATCCAAAGTCCTTCCTAAAGTGAATGATCTTTTCCTCCCATGAAAACCCATAGCACCTATGATACATAATTGTCTTGAGAATTGAGTCTTGGGGAGTGGGACTGTTGGGAAGAATAGAACAAAATCGAATTAGAGTCTGAATAAAAAATCTGGTTTATGTGATGGAAGACACAAAAAGGTGCCAAACTAGCTTCAAACCATGAAAAGTTTGTAATCAGCTGATCAGAGAAAACATTACAGCAAGACATTGAAAGGAGGACTGTAAAAATAAAAACAACAGGAAGATGACCGAAGTATTTGTATGTTGCTTTTATCCATACACATCCAGACTTACAGAAGCCTCAGACTGGAAGGAGCTGTCCAAATAAAAGACCCTCCTCTGCTCTGCTCCTCAGAGTCCTGACCACCGGCCACACCAGATGTCCCACAACCTGCTCTGTGATGGTCTGCTGTAAGCCCATCTGCTGCATCTGTCCTTGATGCTGCCTGGCTTCCTATGTGGCCCTGCTCTGCCAGCCAGCATGTGTGTTGTGACCAGCTGCCAGGCAGTCTGTGTTCCCCCTCCTGCTGTGGAGATAGCCCTTGCCAATTCACCTGCTGCCAGGCTGGTCCCTGCAGCCCCAACTGCTGCATCCCTGCTTCAGTGAGCCTGGGCTAGGCAAAAGAAATGTGCCAGCCAGCTGCATAACAACCTTTCTATGAGCACGCAAAAGTCACTCCTGAGTGGGAGCTGGTCTCCTGGCCGGTGCTGGGTTGGTGCATGCAGGCGAAGGATTTTAAGACAAGGGGATAGCGGCCTGGTGGGCAGGTGGATGGGAATGCACGTGGCAGAGTGTGGGTTGGGGAGGGGTGTGTCAGGGCATGGCTCTGTATGACCACTGTGAGGCCTGTGCGTGGCAGGGTGGTCAGTTTGTGCACTGTCTCCTATAGTCTGGTGGGCTCTGCAGGCTGCCTTGTGCAGGACTTATGCTTCCCCTTTCCCCAGTGGGCTGAGGACAAGGAAAAAGGACAAGTGAGAGGCCAAGAAGGTGAGTGGATGCAGTTTATTTCCAGGTGGGCCCATGGATGGGGCCATCCCCGCACACTCCTAGAGAGAGCGTGAGAGCTGCAGGCAGTGCCAGGATGACAGACGCTGATCTCGGTGCATGGGAAAGCAGGAGTCATGGTTTGGAGGGGGCCCAGCAAGGGCCTGGGGTGGGTGAGGTGTTTGGGGTGGTTTGTTTTCTGTGGCCTGGTGGTCTCAATGCCTTTGGGGGGGATGCCGGCCAGGCGTTCAGGCTGATGTTGGGGGATGGATCTAGGAGGCCCACAGAAGTCACGCAGCGGTAGAGAGTCAGGGAGACAGAGCACCCTGTGGTCAACAGCAAGAGTTTTGGCCACAGGTGGGGGTGCAGCAGGAGGGTTTGCAGCAGGTGGGCCGGCAGATGAGGGAGACAGAGGAGGCAG